GGTCTCATTTGACGCATTTGACTAACAGGAAGAGTGCTAGTCATGGCCTGTCTGCACACATCGGTTCCCTGACTGCCACCTGTGGTTCTAGTTTCTGAGTCCTGCTCGTGACTTCCCTTCTTCCCGCCATTCCTCCCTGCTCTGCTGAGACCTAGGTCCCCCAACCTTCCTTTTGATTTCCTGGCTCTTCCACCATCTCTGGTAACCCACCCCCTCCATCACGTTTCCTCTTAAAGTACCTAGAGTGGCTTGTGGTTTCTGGTTGGGCCCCGACTGATACAATCCTACTAAGGTAATTACACATTTTTTTTATTATTATGTTATGTAAATCACTATACATTACATCATTAGTTTTTGATGTAGTGTTCCATGATTTGAAGATCTTTAACAGAAAAAAAATGAGAATTCCAAAATCCTAGATTTATAAAAGACCCACAAAATGATGTAGCCGAAGCCAATCCCATCACCATATTACTATAATCTAATTATGTGATCTTCTAATGACTATAATCCTCCAGCTTCTGTTAATTCTTTCTTTGTTGCTCTGCGTTGGATACCATGCCTTGTGTACCCTTGTGCAGCTGGGCGGACCTCAGGTCTATCCACGAAAGAACCACCTAAAACCTCCCAGGGAGACAGGGAGTCCCTGGTGCATCAATGACTGTGAAGAGACAGCAGGCACGTTGTGGAAAGGCCTCCACCACTGGTTGTCGGAACATGTTCAGTGACTCCTAGAAGCTCCTCTGACTCTAGCCTCAGTGGTTCACATGAGGCCCACAAATAAGCTGCCAAGCCACCATCCTTACTCCGATTCCTTTTCTTTTTAACTTGATACCATCTCAGCATATGACTGCTAACTGCCCCTGATTTTCCCTGCTATAGGACGCAGTCATTTCCAGCCTTACAGCAAATCTTCGCTAAGGCACAGGCCAGGGGAGCATCTCCCTAACATTCCAATGTTCTGGGTGCTGCGGAGTGCACTGAGATCAAAATAAGTAGACATCCTTGTCTTTTTTTTTTAATGTTCAGTTATCACTGTACAGTACATCATAAGTTTTTGATGTAGTGTTCAATGATTCATTAGTTAAGTATAACACCCAAGTGCTCATCACAGCACGTGCCCTCCTCAATACCCATCACCCTGTTACCTCCTCCCCCCACCTCCTCCCTTCTGAAACCCCCAGTTTGTTTCCTGGGGTCCATCGCCTCTCATGTTTCATCTCCCTCTCTGATTTCTCCCCCTTTGGATTTCCCTCCCTTCCCCTATGGTCCTCTGTGCTATTGCTTATATTCCACATATGAGTGAAGCCATATGATAATTGTCTTTCTCTGACTATTTCACTCAGCATAATACCCTTCAGTTCCATCCATATCAATGCAAATGGTGGATGTTCATCCTTTCTGATGGCTGAGTAATAGTCCATTGTATATATGGACCGCATCTTCTTTATCCATTCATCTGTTGAAGGGTATTTGGGCTCTTTCCACAGTTTAGCTATTGTAGACATTGCTGCTATGAACATTGGGCTGCATGTGGCCCTTCTTTTCACTACATCTGTTATCTTTGGGGTAAATACCTAGTAATGCAATTGCTGGGTCATAGGGTGGCTCTCTTTTTAACGTCTTGAGGAACCTCCATACTGTTTTCCAGAGTGGCTGCACCAGCTTGCATTCCCACCAACAGTGCAAGAGGGTTCCCCTTTCTCTCCACATCCTCGCCAACATTTGTTGTTTCCTGTTTTGATAATTTTTGCCATTCTAACTGGTATAAGGTGGTATCTCATTGTGATTTTGATTTGTATTCCCCTGATGGCTAGTGATGTTGAGCATTTTTTCATGTGTCTGTTGGCCATTTGGATGTCTTCTTTGGAGAAGTGTCTGTTCATTCTGCCCAATTTTTGACTGGGTTATTAGTATTTTGAGTGTTGAGTCTGAGAAGCTCTTTATAGATCTTGGATATCAGCCCTTTACCTGATTAACAGATGCTGAAGGATTATAGTCATTAGAAGATCACATAATTAGATTATAGTAATATGGTGATGGGATTGGCTTCGGCTACATCATTTTGTGGGTCTTTTATAAATCTAGGATTTTGGAATTCTCATTTTTTTTCTGTTCAAGATCTTCAAATCATGGAACACTACATCAAAAACATTACAGGTAATGTCATTTGCAACATCCTTGTCTTAAACAGCAACAGTGGAGAGAGTGGGATTTACATTCAGAACTATCCCAGGAATGGGGCGCCTGAATGGCTCAGTCAGTTAAGTGACTGCCTTCGGCTCGTGTAATGATCCCAGGGTCCTGGGATCGAGCCCCACATTGGGCTCCCTGCTCAGTGGGAATCCTGTTTCTCCCTCTGCCTGCCGCTCCCCCTGCTTATGCTCTCTCTTTCACTCTCTCTGACAAATAAATAAATAGAATTTAAAAAAAACAAAGAACTATCCCAGGAACGAAGCCACAGGAACACTCTCCGAGTTACGACTGGGAAATTCTCCACATGCTAGGCCCTCTATGGATACACTTAGAAGAAAATAATCCCACAAGAAAAAAAATAAATCCAACAGACCAAATGCAGGGCAGAAGGGCATAGAGTAACTTTTACACGTCTGCACCACACTTCCAGCCCAGGGGTGTCTACGTCATTTCATGGTCCTGACAATGTGCACAAACACCGTTGGCTCCAGGGGCAGTCCGAATTCACTTGTGGTTTCAGGCAGGCTGTCTGCGAGCAGGTGGTGTGGAGGTTGCTGACAGTTCTTTCAGTCTGACAATGTACTTTCTTACTGAATCAGGAGAAATGTGTGTGAACATGAACAAGGTCTGAGTATGTGTGAGCCTGAGTCTTCCAGAAAAGCCACACCACGTTCACTCTTCCAGACCCATCGTTGCTTGTGTCCATGCCACGTCGCCTTCGATGTCCTGGACCGTGCACAGCCAGAAGTGCCCAGCATGGGATATCTCAAAACACAGGTTTTAGAAATGCCTGGACTGTGAGCCCTACATATTCAGAAAAATAAGGTGTGGAACATCCTCTCCTAGAGACCCTCTGTGTTTCCATAAACAAGCAAATAAATAAATAAATGAGGTTCTGTTGACTATCAGTCACGCTGCTTGGCACTGAAATGCAGGAAATAGGAAAGTAATCACAACACTGCTTCCATAATACTAACTGGAAAGATGCCTGTGGGTTTCCCTTTCGGGCCCTGTGCTTCCCTCTACAGCACTAGGAGCAGCACCAGCAGACACGTGTGGGTGCTCATTGTGCTTTGTTTGTGCATCGACCTGGTCACATTTTGTTAACTCAGGATATTTCTTTACATAGAGAAGAGCGGCTGTTTGCTTTTGATTTTATGTTTCACCTCTGAGCTTCCTGACACCGGTCCCTGGTGCACCCGGGTATACACAATGGGCTGATTGTCCCACACTTTGGACACAGTTGCACACCAACTCCTACAGGGACTGAGGCAGCCCGATGGAAAGCAGGGCTGGTTAGCCAAGAAGAACACAAAGCCAGGTGCTGTCCCCTGTGTCTGAAGGGCAAAATCCCATTACCTGATTTCCACATAAAATAATAAGCAGACACCCTGATATAAAAGGAAGAGATAATGTAATTGAATCTATACACTCATTTTTAAAGCACTTTCTCCTGAATGTGTATATTTTATGATCCAAGCCATGAAATACAGCTTGCCTATATGTTATAATCTCGGCTCTGAGGCCCAAAACGAGTCTGTTTCAATGTCTTTGTTAATGTTGAACTGTCCGAATGAGGCTAGACTGGGTGTGGTCGCATGAACAGGCATTTTGAAGTTTGAGGAGGATTTGTACACATTCACTTTCCTCCAGCTCTTCTTTCTGTGTTAAGGATTTCAGTGACTTAGAAGAGCTATCACTTAAGTTCTTGCTCAGGCAGGGAAGTCATCATAGCATCTGCAGTCCTAACTATTCAGATGAGGAAACATAATACACATTCTAAATGCAATAGCTAAGGGGGAGAATGGGAAAAGCAGAGCCATGATGTGTTCTGAGTACACAAGTCTTCACTTCTTTTCCTGAATAGTCACCACCAGGAGTTGAGGACAACAACCAATGGCCTTTCCCATGCCACTCCGTTGGTGGGGTCAAACACAACTTCCTTTTTTTTTCCCAGCTTAATATAAAGATGTCACACTCACTTAAGACACTGGGCACAGTCCTTGTTGCTGATGGTATTGTTTGGAAAGCTAAGCTATTAAATTGATTTGGTGTGGTTTAATGTTTATCCTTGTGGAAAAACTTCAAATATATAAATTTACAAGCCAGACCATGCTTCCTAATTAGAGCCTTAGAAGAAACAGTCACATTCTTTTCTATGCCTGCAGATTCTTGCAGAGCAATGGGAGATGGATCTACAATTTTGCAGTGACATGCTTGAGACACTGTCCCTCAGACTCACATTACTCTCTTTCAGTACTTGATTGAGGCATATGAAAGAGATCTCAGCTGGTGTATAAACAAGTCATGACTGGGACCCGGTCTTACCCAGTTCTCCTGCTACGTGGCTTGGAAATGTAAGATGATGCTCTTCCTCCTTCCCATGTCCTGCCACATTCTCCCCAGCAACCCAATATGCAAAGCATGTGCCAATGTTGCTCCACCCTCTGCCTTATTTTGTTGAAAATACATTGAGTTCGTCTTAACTAGCCAAAATGTTCCAGATACACGCAAGCCTACCAATAGAGACCTACTCAGGAACTTGTATGGGAGGATAGCTGTGTAAGTGACAAAAATGTGTCACCAACAAGCTCCACACTACTCAACTTGCAGCTGTCCAAATGCCTGATGCCTGCTCCTAGCTGGACCAGCGTGACGCACAGACAGCAGCTCTTCCATCAGACAAAGACAAACCAAACAGCCACCCAAACTCATTCAGAGCGTGCTAGGGACCAGCGAACATCTCTTACCGAACAGCCCAGCCAAACTCATTCAGAGCGTGCTAGGGAGCGAACATCTCTTACCTTGCATCGTTGCTTTTGTTGGTTCTGAGAACAAAGGGATGAGCAAGAGGTAGATGAGGTAGACAAAGGAGAGCCCATTGTACCGGAACGCACATGCTGCAGTTGGGAAGAGAGAAGAGAGGGAGAATGTCATTAATAATGGCAGGCTGCTGGGACCAGGGTGCAGAGGCCTGTGTGGGTTACTGTGTCAGGAACCGGTGGATCAAATGGTGACCTAAGTAGATATGTCAGTTAGGAAGAAAAAACTGAGCATTTATTCTGTGTTTATCACTATTTTGAGCATCATCAGAAACGCAGAATTAAAATGCATGGTGCCTGCTCTTAAAATCTAACCGAGAAGGCAATACCCATATAACACCTGAATGAAGTCAGTCCATAAATAAGTCATAAATTAAGCTGGAGAAATTAAAATTGTTACAGAAATATAGAGGGCAAAGGGATTGGCGAGGGTTTGGGATCAGGTAAGGCTGGCCATGGAAGAGAGGAGACAGAAAAGAAAGAAAATTGAAGCAGATTTGCTCAATGCTCCATGGCAGGGCTTTACACAAATTATCTCATTTAATCATCATTTTATAAGTAAGAATGCTCAGGCTCAGAAACACTCAATCATTCACCTGAATCTCCCAACTAGGGTTTTACCAAGTTAGGATTCACCTCAGGTCGGCCAGGCTCCCGACCCCATTCTCCTTCTTCTGCATCACTTATCTTAGAGCTAGAACTCCAGAGACTTGCTCCAAGGGCGTGCCTTCCCTCTCCACGTTCCCATTTCCCCATCTGTGAAGCAGACCTGATAACTGTCTCTAACACATAGACTCATTATGAGGATTAAATAGAATGATATATAATAATACCTATGGCTCAGCAATTATACACAGGAAGCCCTCAAAAACATGAGCATTTATCATAAGCGTCCTCATTATTATCCAGGGAGAAGAAAGTGTGCAGTGTTCCATGCAGAAAGAAAATGAGCACATAATAGCAATAAAAAATAAATTTATTGGATGACTAAAGAAAAACTAAAGATGAGAAGGATTGAGTATGAGTCTGCAGGATGAGGAAATCTCTTTAATGATGACACAGGTGGAAAAATGTTGGTAGGAGAGAAAATGGAGGGCGAGAGACATGGTACCCAGACAGGGAGAACAGATCAAGAAGTGCTGGACTTGAGAAAGGATTTGAACAGGAGCATTGCATAGGCCAGCCCCTAGCCCTTGCTTCGGATAGTTTACTCTAGAAGCCAGCAATCAGAGACACAGTAGAGCAAAGTGAGGCGTGGTGTCTTAGGGAAGGAGGGAAGCCACAAACAGTGCTTTTTCATTCCAAAGGAATCGTGCACATATTTGTGGCTTTTCTACCTTCATGGACATTCCTAACCTCCTTTATGAAAGACCCAAGGTGGAAAGAAACTTTCACACTATTGATGGGGCTGACAGGAAAATATATAAATAAGACAATGTAAAAGAATAAAAACATATGTTGGAACTGTCTTTCTAGATTTTTTTTTACTTCTGCTTCTTATTTCTCAACGATAGTGGAAGCTCCTTCAAAATAATTCAAAGATATTTGGGGATTCATTCAGTCGACAAATATTTTCTGAGCATGTGCTATGTGCTGGGACCCACAAAGATCCTTTTCTACCTCAGGAAACTTACATTTTGGTGGGGGGATGTATGACAAACAACAAACATAATGAAAGGTCAATCGCAAGGAACGCTGGAAGATAAGCACTATGTGAACAGGAAGTCAGCAGGGAAAGGGGGAGCAGGGGGCACTGGGGGGGAGGACTGACTGCAGCATTCAGTAGGAGCACTGAAGGTAGACCACTGTCAAGGAGAAAGTGAGATGTGGGTCAACAGGTGAGGTAGGTGAGCCACTTGACAGAGCCTCTGTGGAAGACGGTGCCAGGCAGGCACTTGGAGAAGAAGGCCTGACCTGTGTGACCTGCCCCAGACAACCCCACGGGGAGGCGGGGATGCCAGCAAAGTCCTGGACAGGGCCAGATCCCGTGGACTTGCGAGAGATCTGAAGGCACTGGCTGTCACTTTGAGGTGTCAGCTGAGTGCCGGCTGTCACCCTCGGTCAAAGGCTGCAAGCCGGGCTCCCACCCCCACCTGCAGCTCCATGCCCCACCAATACATTCCCTGTGTTCTGCACCACTGCCCAACTGAGCAGCCAGCATCTTCTATATGCTATGTGGCTTCCTAACTCTAGATCATGCCAACACCACTCTCTCCAACTGCAACACCTTCCCATCCTTCCTCCATCAGGCATACTGCTACATGGCTTACAAGTTTCCTTTTCTGGGTCATGGCATGGACCATGTCCACAACCTCCCCAAACAGATACATTTCACTCCCGGTGCCTTTTCCAGAGCACTTGTCATTCAGTGTCACAGGCCTCTGTTTCGATGCCTGTGACCATCTCTGCTATCGCCACGGCCCAGGGCAGGAGGTGCTCATGCCCACGTCAGGAAGGAACAGTGAATAAATGAATGAAATGGAATGAAAAAGACGTGAGGGCATCTGGAAAGGAAATCAGGGTATTAAGGTGCACAGCGTGCCTGGTCACATAAAAACATCACAGCTGACATTTCAACAACAATAAACAAACATAAACATCTAATCAACTGGAATGTTTCTTTCTTTTTAGCCTTCGGATGTTTTGTCAACCTTAAAATTAGGATGGTGCAGCAAAGTCACCTAATTCTGAGTATTTCTGGGTAAAAACTAAAATAGAACTCACTTATATGATCGTAGCACTTTAAAGAGCATTCTCAGAGACCCATCTGCTGTTAATTTATCTCAGTAATAGCTTACAACAATGTGCTTGCTCTGTGTCAAGCCCTGATGGGTACACTTCATGTACATTAACTCATACTATTACTATCCTCCTTTTACAGAGACTGTTATTACTCTCTTTCTACACAAGAAAAAGCAGGAAGCGCAGTTAAGGAACCAGGCGGTGGTTTGAGCCTGGGAATCCAGTTCCCGAGGCTGCACTATCATTAGGAAGCGTCATGGCCCCAGCCTGACAACATGTCCTCACCCGTCCATCCTGTCCCTAGTTAACCCTCAGGGGTTCAGTGAGCAGGAGCCTGCCCTCCACAGGATGGCAAACGTTCTTGTATATATCTTGCTGTTTCAGTTTTATAACCTCATTCTGTAAAGTTTCATATTATGCATGGTGAAAACGTGTTTACTGAGGAAATTCTCAAAGATTAACTTTGGAGGGGGGAGAATGGAGTCTGCTCTGGGTTTCCCATATCACAGCCTTCAGTTGTCATTATTTATAGCAAAGTCCAAAGAGCTTAAGGAGAGGACAGGGACAACCCAGGGTGATAGGCAGCCTCCAAATGGTCCCCAGTAATTGCCACCTCCTGATTGTCACGCCAGGATGTCATCCCCCGCTCTTAATAGGGGTTTGAACTAATGGCTCACTTCCAGCGAATAGAAACTGTAAAAGTATCGCGATCCCTCATGGTGGCTTCTATCCCGGGTGCCCATCTGCCTCTCCCCTTGCTCACTGTGAGGGAAGCCAGCTGCCGGGTTGTGAGTTATCCCAGGGAGAGGCATAGGGCAAGAACTGAAGTCTCTAGCCAGTAGCCAGCCCTCACCGGCCAACAGCCACATGAGTTCGCTTGGAAGCAGCTCCTCCGGAGGCTGTGTCCTCACCACCCCTTTGGCTACAGCCCTGTGAGACAGCCTGTGTCGGAGGTGCCCACCCGAGCCACACCTGGCTTCCTGACTCCCAGAAACTCAGTGTGTTGCTTTAAGCTGCTAAATACTTAGGTAATTTGTATGCAGCAATAGAGACACAAACTTAAAAAAAAAAATCAAGCCACTTGTAAAAATCCAACTTCATTTATTTTGTCTGAATTTATCCCATTTGACTGATGACAGTAGCCCAACTGCTTAATTCCCTGCTTTACTTTTTATGTGTAAAGTTGCTATTCAGGAGCTCCCCCAAGCTTATGGGGACTTTGAATGACATTTCTAAGTGAGTTATCCTCATCAAGGGCAAAACATGCCTTTGAACTTGTCAATAAAACACATTCAAGCTAGAAAAGCCTTAGAAGGCAAATAGGAACAGCTCCTTTGTCAAACATGCTGTCGCCTTTGTTCAGGAGCACATTCATTACTCTTCATAAGGAGCTTTCTCGTATTCTGGCTGCACAGCGTTCCCAGATACCCCCCACCTCTCATGGACTGTCAGGTCACCTGGACCTCCGCCCTCTGCCTCAAACATTTAACTGCTGATGGTACAATTTTTTGAATTGCAGACCAAGGTGTTCAAAGGAGAAAGACTCTCTGATTTTGTGAAGAATGCACCGGGGTTTCCACTATCCTACCTGGTTTTAACCACCCAGAATTATGTGGAAACCTCCCCAAAGGGATGACAACAGTTGACAGGAATTTCCCAAACCAAAGACCTTGCCAGGCCTAGAGAGCTCACAATTACAAACTGTGAGTCAACAAGTTATCAAGTGGAGTGCTTCACAAACATTAATAGCATTATTTGAAATGTAAACAATTGAACTCTCCACATTAACAAGCTTCATTTTCTAAAGATGAAAGCTGGTAAGCAGTTTTGGCAAAACTCTCTAAGAAGGAAATGATTTGACTTTGACAACTTAGTTTATCACAATAGAAAGGGGAAAAATGTCTTGCAAGTATGAAGTTGTTAAGATGGCCATGTAATATTTATAAAAATACTTGGTTATAGTTTGTGTACAGATCTTTCCCGACTTACAATGCGGTTATGTCCCAGTAAAACCAAAGTACGTTGAAAATATTATAAATTGAAAATGCATTGAATACACCTAACCTATTGAATATCACAGCTCAGCCAAGCCTACCTTAAACGTGTGCAGGATGCTACAGTTGAGCAGATCATCTGACACAAAGCGGGTTGTATAACCACGTGTTGAATAGTTCATGTAACTGACCGACTTCCTTACTGAAAGTGACAAACACAAGGGCTGTATGGATACAGAATGGTAAGAATGTAAGTGTTGGCTACTGACCCTCCTGCCCGCAGGATGGACTGGGAGCAGCTGCTGCCCCCCAGCATCATGGGAGAACACTGCACTGCAGGTC